CCTCACTGTCAGCCTTAGAATCAAAGCCACTGAGAAGGGGGGGAAATGGATGGGACCTGACTGAGGCCATAGACCTGACACACCAGTAAGAGGAGCACACCCCAGACCAGATACGAGCCTGCAGCTGGCTCCTCCAGGGACCGTCCTCTCGGGCCTGACGCTGCCTTTCCTCAGGTTCCCAGGGCGTTTGTGAACCTGGTGGTGATGCTGGAGATCATTACCCTGAGGGAGCTGTACCAGGAGAAGAGAGTGAGCTGCCCAAGGCTGATCCTCAGGTAAGACGGCGTCTCCTTCCCTGACTCCCAAAGGCTGGCGGGGGGGCAGGGGGGGGGGCTTCCTAGAGAGTGACCCCGAGGAGTTGGAAAGCCCTGGGGTAGCGTGTGAGAAGTCCTGAGACCACCCCGGTTTCTCCCCTGGAAAAACAGAGAGGACACCCCATGGGTTTTGTGCCCCAAGAGGAACCTTAGCTACCTGTCCTCTAAAGGTGTGCGTCTGAAACCCCAACCTTGCTTCTGAGTCCCGGGGGCCTGTGGCACCTTTGCCTCTGCAGAGAAAGGAATGGAGTCCAGTAGCGTGGGTGTGATGTGGGCAGTGCCAGGCCTCTGCCAGGACCTGCTTTAGAGTGTGCCTGGAGCCTCAGCGCCCTCTCTGGGCAGCATGGCCTGGCGAGGGACCCTGAGGGCTGTGGGTGCCACATATACATACACATGCACGTGCACACACACGCAAACATACACACATGCACACACACATACATGGACAAACAAACATACATACACCCACATACCCATATACTCATATACTCATGCATACACATTTACATGGACACGCACATGCACACATGCACACACACGGACAAACACACATACATACATACACACATGCACACACACACGGACAAACACACACATATATACACACATGCACACACACATATACACACAGGCACACACATACACGGACAAACATACACACACATACAAACACACAGGCACACACATACAGTCCCTCAGGTGGCTGTTCTTCCCTCGGCAGGGCTGACTCCATGACCAGCCATGCCCCGCGTCCCCAGCACCCAAAGCCTAGACTGTAAGTGTGCCCGCAGTCAGGGTGGTCCCTGTGAGAAGTCTGCCGCAGAGGGCACGAGCGCCGGGAGGTTTGTGCTCGGCTGTGAGCGGAAAGAAACGTTGGTGGTGGAAACCCACCCGGAGGATCTGGGAATCCAAGCCCATCCACCTGCTTCTCAGGAGCTCACAGCCGAGGGGCCCAGGGCCGTCTCAGCCCAGGCCTGCGAGGGTCAGAATCCACTACACAGCAGCCCGCAGCAACCCGGCGCAGAGCAAGGCCAACTGGAGTTCAAGTCCCGGCTTCTACACTCAGCCTTCTTGTGGCCTTGAGAAAGCTCCGACCTGCTCGGAGCCTCAGTGCGTTCTCATCCACAGACGGGGGAGGATGGCTGTGGGGTGAGCCGGCTATTGCTACCGAGCTCTGGGCACAGCGACTCCGTGCACGGGAACCGTGACCCGTGTTTGCCAAGGAATTGTATAGAAAATGCCTGCCTATACAGTATACTCACTCCCTGGATCCGCAAGTGTAGCATTTTGCTCTATTAACATTATCTCATGTCTATCCAGTAGTCTTCCAGCTCATGTTTCCCCAAGTATGCCCATGTTGCATGCTTTGGCTACAGAATGTCAAATTGATCCCAGAGAGTGTGTCTGCTTCCCCACAGCCTGAATGACAATGTGTGGTAGCAGCCTTTTCACAAGCTGCTCACCTGACGGGTATAAATGGCATCTCATTTTCCACATCCCCGTTTCTGTGATCCGTGGGTAGGGATCAGCTGATTTCCTCTGCTTGATGCTCACTTGCCTTTCCCCTTTGACTTTGTTTGCTCTCGTATCCTTGTCCAGTTCGGGTGAAATGGCCATGTGCTTTGACCACCTGAGTAAAACCCCATGTGCACACGCTCAGAGGTGCTGCTTCTCAGCTTGTTTGGTTTTAAGGCTTGTGTATGGGGCATCTGCTGAGCACGATGCAGTGAAGGTTGGGCATACAGTGAAAATGACACGTGGCTTTCTTCTCGAGGACCTTGCCCTGTCAGGGGTGGGAGGCCAGACCATTGTCCATCACACAGAGAGCAGAGCAGCCGGGCTGGCTCCAGGATGCACAGAGAAGATAGATCTAAACCCAAATGACTTGGGAATTTGGGGTGGGGGTAACCATCAGACAGCAGGAGGCTTTCCCCCTGGGACCTGAAAGTGAACGCATTTGTCCTGCAGGAAGAACAAGGTCAGGAAGTGGCCTCCTGGCTGTGGCTTGTGAGCCCCTGCCCCCAGCCCTGCAGGGCCCATGTTCCTGGGCTGAGAGCCATGCAACTCACTGCTGACTCATACCCAGACGACT